TACAGACAAAGATGATGTCATCATCCAAAGGGTTGATTAGATATTGGTGGCCAGAATGGAATGTCCCCAAGAGAACTCTCACCTTCCAGAGCAATATGGCTTTGAATTGACTGAAATATTCAAATCTATAACTCCACTATAGCTAACCTGACTTCTTTCCTCTATCAAAAAATGTTACATAGACTATACAGAACACAGAATAGAACGAGTTGTTAATCTCTATCTGTACAAAAGCTCCTAGAAATACATAAGGCTGTAGAGCTTGGGATACCATAGTGAAGGGATATGAGTGACTTTGGAACATGTTACAAGTCATGGAAAAATTTTACAGTTATCATATTTTTGGAACGCATTATTGTCTGATGTTTTCCCCCATCTAAGCATATGTAGTGTATATTGCAACAAAAGGACTGTTAGTGGATAAAATCATTGTACTTGGGTTGCCAGCATTTTAGGTATGTGATGTACAATCAGAATTTATGGTTTCCTAGCAGTGTAACAAAGTAGAAACTTTTTGTATTACAGTCCTCCCAATGGGGTATGGACAGGCCCCCAGAGTGAAAATTCATTATATTCTTACAGAGAAATACTAGATAGTTTCTACTATATATTGAGTAGAAAATCTCAGTAAATAAATGCTTCTAACAACTCCATGCCAGTCCACATCAGGCTCAGGAGCTACCAGAGCCAGCAAGGTCTCCTTTGCATTGCTCTGAGGGGCTCTGTCTCTTACCTCCACAAAATCTCACTCTGGGAAATGTGTTTGTTTCCATGAACATTATCTTTTCAGTATCGGGTCGGCTTTATCTTTCTGAGCACAAGCAATATCAGGCTGCTCTTACTGGTTCATATTGCCACTCTATGCTCAGCAGCTCCTCTTCTCCTGCAATCACCTTCCCATCAACTGGCTCAACTGAGTTTTTTTATTTTTATTTCCGTCTTTCTTTTTAATTGAGAGATGGTCTCACTCTGTGTCCATCTGTGATGGTCTCAAACAAAAGACTCAACCAAATCTGAGACCTCATTCACCAGATTGCCTCTGATTATAAAGTATTACTGTCCCCATACCCACCACTCCACTTATCCAAGTTGTCTTATTATGGCCACACATTTACTCCTTAAAGCTTGTATTGACAACTTGAGAGTTAACCCCTCACCACAGGGTTCTGGTCCTTATTTCTGACCCCAGGAATTTATCTGACAGTTCTGCCCACCAATCTCATACAGCAAATTAGTTTCAGGATGTCCCCTCCCTGAACGCAGCCAAGCTTCCACTGTCCACCTGCATGCACATCCTGTCTACAGTGATGCTGCCGGTCTGGTGTATCCTTCATGCTTCCTCGAGATAAAATTTATACATCATTCATCTGGAACACTCAGCATGAAGGATTAAACACCTAAAACCAATACAGCTGTTTATTAAAACAAATTGTCAATAACAGAAAAAAAAAGTGATGTTAGAGGTGGAAAGGCCTCACTGATGCAGGAATCTAACCAAGTCTACTCTGAACTTACTTCTGCAATGTCTATGAGATAAGATCACTCTCAGCCTGACATGCTAGCACACAGAGCTCTGGGGTAAAGATACATAAGACCAAAACCATGGCCAGACATCCAGGAACCTTCCTTCTGTGTCACCTTTAGCTCCATGCCATAACTAAACTCAGCTGCTTCTCCCTCTCAAAACCCACTCAAAGATGTGAATCTGGATGCCTTTGCTCTATGCCCTGTCAATTAACAACTTTAACAAGGTCTGTTCAACAGTGTCCAGACTTCCAGCTGCCCCTCACTGTCTTCCTACAAAAACGGAGTGTGGATGACAAGAAGCACCAGGGAGTCTAGTACTCAGGTGTGCACGTTCCATCTCACCTACTACATAATCAGACTGAGAAAGCTTTCTAAGAAGCTAAGTCCCAGGTACAGCCTCTATCTGAAATAGATACCACCCTGCTGCCTTTTTGTAGAGATGGAAACAAAGTTAGACAAAACAAAACAAAAAGGGGATATAAATAAATGACTCTTTGTTGTGGAAAAAATATATATGATATGTTAGATATATAGCTATTTTCTGTCAGCTCATTGAGAAGGAAAGTTTGTACTAATACTGTTTAGACAAGATACCATGTCTGCATTTTGTCCTCTGAATAATTACTATAAACACAACAATATACAATGTACTAATGATTGTTACTACTCTAATAACCTGTTTTGAATCTGTTTCATTGCAATTTTTTCATTTCTCTCATTAAAATGAATTTAAAAAAATTAAAAAAAAAACAAAGTGAGAGAGATTTGTCCAGGTTCTATACAATTTGAATACACACACACGCGAACGTGTGCACACACACAATCTCTCTATCGGAGTATACTCTCAAACTCTAAGCTCATCTCCTGCTTGAGGCTCCTGAACACTGGGATTAAAAGGATGAGTGACCACACTGGGCTGACAAGGAATGGAGTCTGAGCCTGGATGGAAAATGGAATATGAGGAAATTTCAGTTGGAAGGAAAGCAACTTCTAAGCACACAGAACATGTGAAGTGAAAGTCAGAAAATATAATAGACCTCCAAAATAATTGTTCCAGTAGGCTAGGCTGTGTGCATGTGCAGCAAAGACTCAAGTAACTGGGGGTGAACTCAAATCCCAGGAACATTACAGAACCTAGACCTGACCAGCACATACACTGAGTTCTGATTCAGGCAAGGGTAGTCAGCAGGGTTGGCAGAGAGACCTCAGGCTTACTCTGTCCTCACTCATCTACACCCAGAAGTGCACAGTGTGCACCAATGTCAGTATTCCCAGCCAGGCAGAATGAGCAAGAGTAGCCACAGACACACCTGACTCTGCACATGGTCTGAACCAAAACAGGCCTCCTGAGTCTCCTATAGACACCTCTCTCATGAAAGACACAGCAGCTGAGCACAGAGGGTCCTTGTGAGAGGGGCTACACTAATCTGCAGGGTGACGTCATTACTCACTGGACACATCCAGAGTAGAGCAGTCTTCAGTCTTCTGTGATGGGAAGGCCACACTGCTTGCACATTCCTGTGGCTTAGCCTCATCAGGATGACAGGTAGGCAGCAAATACTTTTCATCTAGTGAATCTGGCCCAAGTTCATTTTCTTCCTCCTCACATAGACTGAAGTGAGAAAGAACAAGAAAGCATTAACTGGGATGGATCAGAATCCACAGCTTCCCACATGGCTGTCATCAAAGCTTGATGGTAAATTCCTGCAGGATTCAGAAGAGGCTGAGGGAAACTATGTATCCCTACACTGCACCTTCCTTGTTTACCCTGAGAATGAGACAGACAGAAAGACAAAATGATTGACAGACACAAACACAGAAAGTTCAACTGCTTCTCAGTGCATGGGGTAGATAGCAAGGTGATGAGGAAGAGCACTAAGCTGTGCTTGGAAGATCAGGTGATGAGAAGCAGCAGCCAAGAAGAAACACAGCAGGACTCTACATTATGCAAACAGTGTTGAGTGTTCTGGGGATCCAGACAACAAAGGCTGCTGCAAGGCAGCATCCAAACTTTCACCTTCCACAACATTTTCTACTCAAGGGTGCTGGTACATGGTCCATAATCTCAGCACCCAAGAATCTGAGGCAGGAGGCTGACAGCGAGTTCAAGGCTAGTCTGGCTGTACAGTAAGTTCAAGGCCAGCTTACACTACATAGTGAGATCCTGTTTCAAGAAGAGAAAACATTTTTATGGATCTTGTGACATAACATTATTCGTTTTAGTGGCTATGCATGATTCTTCTGCAGTTTCTTAGGACACAAACACGTAGCCTCACTGCAACAATACAGAAACAAAATATGCATCCTATTCTGACTTTACCCTTCATGGAACAAGAGCCTTCTTCAAGGGCAGGAATTCCCACAATGCCTATTCCTGTAGGTCTGATTTGTCCTCCCATTCCATGGAGAAAACTGTAAGGACTACAAAAGGGACATGGTATCTCTGGAGGCAGGACTATCATGACCACCAGTGCCACTCTTTCTTTCCCTTTGAAAGGTATGACAAACTTTGACACTACGGTCTTGGCATTTACACAGCACACTGGATGTAACCCTTGCTGATCATTCATTCTTACCTGCACTCCAGGGTCATTTGATCATCCTCATTCTCTTCATCTAGATTGCCTGCAACCAAACTGAAAGTGTCCCAGTTAGACACTTAGAAGTGCACTTCCCTTCTGGAGGTCAGAGAATTATCTTGTTGAAGATAGTGTGTATGAGGTCAGAAAGGTGTCATGTTTGTCCTCAACACATGGTCTAGTTTAAGAACCCGGACACTAAGGGTCCTAATCTGTTGGATTTTCTTCGTGGTATTGTACAGTTTTCATTGCACACAGAAAAAAAATGTTGCTCCAATGAAAAGACACCAGAGAAATGTAGCCAGCCTGGGGCTTCTCCAGCTGCAATTCCATCAGGTTACGGAGCTGGGGACGGAGGGAATAGCTACACACACCATCACAATTGCCCTCACATACACTCACCTCTTTTGCTAGGGAAAGAAAAAAATAAACCTTACACAGAACCCTCTGTTCATCCATGCACTTTCTAAGATCTTGCACTGAGCTTTTATCATTTAATTAAAAGACATTCTCTCTATGTTCCCAGATGAGGGTTTCAGTTTCCATGCCTAACCAATGCATCCTACCTGATGAAGTCCATAAAGGAAAATCTCTCAATGACTCTGAATGACCTCATCCACCTACACTGACAGTGACAAACTTCCCTGCTCTTATGCTACAATTACCATGCAACACATTTTTGTGAGTATGCTAGAGATGAGGAAAAAAAAAACCAAGAACAATTAATTACCCCATCATTCAAAACAGGTGCAGTATGACGATATCTAGAAATCTTATTCATGAAACAGGCTGTTAGAAATTTATCTTGATTCTCCCTGCCACTCCCACTATCTGACTTCCCATGGGTGTTTACAAGAGATGGTGCCATGCATGTGCAGCACTTCCCGGAGCAGCATCCACCACATCAGACCTACAGAGTAAGTTTTCTTATTGTTGCATGGAATGGCAATGTCCACATAGTGCAGAGGAGAATCTGTGCTGCACAGAGCAGTGGTCGGCAGAGTGACATAAGATGCCTCCGTTAGGAGTTGGTGCTCAGTTCTGGGGTCAGTAACCACCAGAAGATGTGGCTCTTGGAAAGCTGCCTGGATCTGGGTAGTGAAGGTTCCAGGAATGAAGCGGCCAGTGATAAGAGTAGCCCCAGTGGCAGCAGCAAACTTCAGCACAGCCCACTGGCTGGTATGCCAAGAGGACATGATGCCGATGTCTGCAGGATTTTCAGTGGCCTCAATGGCTCGAGCTGCCACAAGGAGCTTCTCCCAAGTCCGCTTTATACTTATGATACAGATTCCATCACTTTTCCTCTTACAGATATTCTGCTCCATCTGGAAATCCAGGTTGGTGCCAACTAAGTAGGTTCCTGCAGCAAGGAACTTGAGGACGTCCTCCTCCATCATTTGCAGAACATCAAGCATTCTGGACATTGTGAAGTTTCCCTTTAAATTATGGTGGGAATCAAGAACAACACCGTATGGACCCAAAGCACTGTTGCAGCTAGTGAAAAGGCAAGAAAAGATTTCCAAAAAACAACTAGGATGCAGGAAAAAATAATGCCACATCTGCAAAATGATTCAACAATAAACAACCTAGGACTAACAGTCGTCAATGAGAAAGAAGGAGTCAATACAAATGATTTAAAAAGAACATGGCCTGAAGTAGTAGCAGAATACTTCCCAAATGTGGGGAAACAATCAAAACGTTCAGGTATCCAAAGCGTATACAACTGCAAATAACATAAACTCAATTAAAAACACACCCAGACATAATAATCAAGATCCCAGAAATCCAGCACAAGAACAGTTTACTAAAAGCCGCTAGAAAAAAGAAACAAATCACATTTAAAGGAAAGCCTATCAGAATAATGGCAGATTTCTCTTCACAAACCAGCAAGTTGAGAAGAGCATGGAACTCTTCTTGTACTTAAAGTCCTTAAAGTCCTTCAAGAAAACAATTCCAGGCCAGACAGCCATACTCTGCAAAATTCTCTTTCAAGTTTGACGCATAAATGAAATATTTGCATGACAAAGAACAACTAAAGAAATTCATGATGGCAAAGTCAACCCTACACAGACTGCTAAAAGATATTCTAGACAGGGACCAAAATGACCACGAGTCCATAAATGAAAATGGAAAGAAGCGTCAAAAAAGGGTGAACAATTAAACACATGAGAAAAAGAGGTATACAACAAAAAGTAAATAACATATCAATCATGTCAATACTTCTCAATTACAACCATCAATGTAAATGGACTCAATTCACTAATTAAAAGTAATAGACTGGCAGAGTGGATTAGGAAGCAAAATCCAACAATATTCTGTACACAATAAATACATTTATCTCATAAAGAAATTCATAGGCTGAAATTCAAAGGATGGAAAACAATTCTACA